CAGTGAGTGCGAAGGGAAGTGGCAGAAGGTGAGGTCCAAGACCCAGACAGGGGATGTTAGCCTAACTTCAGAGTTTGGATTTCACTTAAAGCATGATGGAAAGCCTACAGAGAGTTTTCTGCGATAGAGATAGTTGACTTTATTTGTATGTTAAACTCTCCACTCTGGCCGCCGTAAGGAGAATGGACAAAAGGGACAAGAAGCAAGGAGACCAAAAAGGAGATTAAAATGTGGTTCAAAAGGACTCAAATAAACTCATTATGCCTAAAATTCTGGCCCTTAACTCTAAGAGCCTAACTCCTCAGACTCTCTGTGAGGTTTAAAATAGGAAGCTGGTTAAAGAGAGATGTTTTTTTCTTTAAAGCAACGACAGCCAACTGGGTGGCATTCATACATCAGACAAGAGAGGGCTAGTAACAGGCCCTTCTACAAAGGGCAGGACCCAGCCACCTCCTAAGAAGAGAACAAGCACCCATCTGTTCTGGGGCCAGGGAGCAGATCAGCTCCCTTGTGCCCCTTCCAGCCCTGGGATTCTGGGACTCCCAACAACAGAACTCTTAGATGCTTCACAGGCTCAGACCCCACGTCTGGCCAGCTTGCAGGGCTGTCCCTGGCTCTCCCATGGCAGAACCTAAACGTCCCCTGTGATACCAGCCTTCAAACCCTAAACACAAATCAATCACAGCCCTCCAACTGCACAAAATCAGATAACTAGACAATCTCCAGTGGCACAGTCTTGTCAAAAAAAAAAAAAAAACAAACCCAAATCTCATAGAGCTCTAAAAACCAAATACCAATTTATAGTAACATGGGGACAACAGAACATGTTAAGTGATACCAGAAGGTACCATCCACAAAATCCTCACTGTGGGAAGCTCCCTAAGATAAACAAACCAGCTTCTTCAATAAGGAAATTGTAAGGGGGAAAAAAAAAGAGTTGAAGGAGAAAACTTATATCACCAATCATGCTGGATTTTTTGAATCATGACTCTTGAAAAATTTTTATGAGACAAGTAGAGAAATCTGAACATTGACTGAATATGATGATAAGAAATGACTAACTTGGGGAGTAGGATAATGTAGGAAGTATTATGTTTTTTAGAAGCATCCTTATCTTTCAGATGCATACTGAGATATTTAAGAATAAAATGACATAATGGTAATATTGTAGGGGAATGGGTTGGTAAATAAATGAAACAAGACTGGCCATGAGTTGATAATGGCTGATACTGTGTATTGTATTATTATATTACACCATTCTCTCTACTTTTTTTATGTGTGAAAACTTCCACAATAAAAAGCTGGTATTGCTGTGAACTCTAGGGATGGGCTTTTTCCAGAAATCTACACAGTAATAACCCACTAGACCCTATACCCAACGTGAAGGGATCACATTCATTAGATGCACTGTCCTCTACAGAACCTGCTATTAGTGATTTGCTAAATGAGTGAACCCATATTTCCTTTCTCATAAACCCCATGGTGAGGACTGGTTCAAAAAACCACCCTCTGTAAGAAGTGGATTTCTTTTTCATTCATGCTAACTGATCTTCAGTTCAGAATGTCACACCCGAGGTCACACAACTTTACCCACACCTTTTAGAATGGACATATTTTGACTGTTTCTCTGGCTTGGTCCATCCCACCAAAGGTACCTGTTTCCCCCTCACAGGACAGCACTCTGCCCGACCTACCCACTTTCATCATCACTGAGGTGGTGCTCTGGATTTCACCCTGATGTGCCACGTCTATAGGAAAGCAGGCTCTGAAAATCAAAATGCTTTAAGGAGCTCTCCATTACAATGGTTTCCAAAATGCCATCTCCAAGGAAGGCTCCATTCAGGGGCCTCCTTGGAACCAGGCTCAAATCTAATAGGCTCTCAAACATACCACTGCAGAATCCCAGTTGATGGAATCCCTAGGAGACGGTCAGAAAAAGGCGGAACCTCCAGGTCATCCCCCAACTCCCACAGAAAGTCCTCAGATCAAGACTGACGAGGACTACACCAGTTCTCCAGGAGGCAAACTGAGGCTGAAACTGTAAGTACAGCCCTGAGGATCTACCAAGGGTGCCCGAGTCTCCTGGTTCTGGGCCCACCTGACATACCTGTGTCATTATCATCCTCCTCAGCATACCTGCATGCTAATATTTCCAATGGCCTGGGAGGGCAGGAAGATAACAAGGACCACCAGGCCATCACTGTACCACATAGGATCATTTCATCTCTTAAGCCCAACAGCCAAGAGTGTTATCTGTATTAAGTCTATCAATTAGAGGTGCCAGGAAGATCAATGGTTGGATGGAGCCCTCTGGGAAGGATGAAGAAGGGTCCTGTGATGAGAGGCAGGAGGAAGGAGAAACTCAGTGAATTTAACACCAAGCATGGGGGGGCACTTAAGAGAGGTTGGCAGCTGCAGCCTGCTCCAGGCCCCACCACGGCCAGCACCCACAGAGCAAGGGTCAATAGTGAGCACTGCACTGATGTCAGATGCTTAGACAAAGAACTTAGACAAAGAAACTCCAGATTACAGCAAGGGAAGTAAAGGTCATTTAGCACCAACATGAAATCAATCCCACCCTCTCCTTAGGTAAGTTAAGTCCATGGCCAAAGCCATCAGGATGGCAGGAACAATAGCAGGATGGGATGAAGACAGGGACTGGGAGGGCCCCCAATGTCTGCTGCATTGCAGGGAAGGGCACAGTACATCCAGGAGGAAAGACAAGATGCCTTGAGCCTAAGGCATCCTCACCCTAGCCAATCCCTTCCCGTCCCCTGCCCAGGTCCTTCCTTGGGCCTCACTGCATCCCTCTAAACTCTCTCCGCCCTGGCCCGTGCCCACCTGGCTGCCTCCTTGGCCCATGCATAGCTAGTCTTGATGACTGGTAGGGCTATTACCTTGACATTCACCTGGGTTCCCAGGGGCACAGGCCCATGGAGGGGGGACTAAGAGCAGTTCTAAGCAAACCTCTTCATCCTCATGCAGCACCCCATTCCTCTCAGATGCACCTGCACCCACGTTATCTCACTGGAGCCTCACCAGCCTTTTATGTAGAAACAGAAACTAAGGCTGGAGGAGTCTGCATCCATACTATTACATCACAGTCAAGGGATGAGCCAGGACTAGAACCTTTAGCTCCCTGTGCAGGGACTTTCCTACCCTAGCACACTTTCTACATCCAGAGACAAAGACTGGCCTGATGCACCTGCCTTCCCATCAAGACATTGCCCTTCAGATGGGTCAAAAGAGGCCCAGGCGTCTCAGAACAGCCATCTCATATGGTTCTGACTTTAGAAAACTGGCCTTGTTCATTCCCCCTCCACGGATAAAATGCTAAAGGACTGAGAATGGAAGAGAACCAAAGACTCGTAGAGAACAGAGCCTGCTTGCAGTTCCTTCTGCTAGACAAGTGAGTTCCCCAGCATCAGCCATCACAAATCACCTGCAGGATTTCTGCCCTATTCCATACCATTTGTACTATTACTACTATTTCTATTATATAGCATCATTCTTGTAATTTAATATTTAATTTAAACTGATACTTTATATCACCACCACAAAGGGGAAAATAACTACCCCTAGCCAAAACTAGGAGAAAATCCTAAAAATAAGTAGTACAAAAACCACCTAAGTTGTAGGCAGGTGCTGTTCCCCCATTTAAAGTCCCTAAGCCAGAGGTTTGCTCCCTCTTCTGTTATAAAAGGGAGATTAGCAAATGTTAAAAAGGTGTTAAAGCCAGACTAGCACTGCCTGAAACTCCCCTTTGAAAAATTCACAAGGATTAGCAGAGAACTGAACAGGGAAGAACTTTCTCACTAGGTGACTCAATGTTATTTCATGCTTAACCACCTTAGGTCATGCCACTGGAGACTCATCCTATACTGGGGGAAACATCATATTAGGCTACGCTATAGGAAGGGGAGAGGAGGGAGGGGAGACGACCATACCACAGGGGCAACCCATGCCAGCCTCTCAGAAAGCTCCAGGTCACTGCCTGCCACCACCCCAGGCACACTCAGGATCTGGGCAAGCCCTGGGGCCACCAGTCACCACCCAGGTGTCTCTGGCTCCGCTGGCCTTGTGTTAGTCCTTTTCCAGTGCAGAGTGCAGCACTAACCACTCCGAAACTCCTCTGGAAATTAGGATCCAGCAGAGCCGCTGGGGGTTACCCAAAATCCCCACACCACCTCTGTGGACAGTCGGCTAGCTGCTGGGAAACTTTGGGCTCATGTACCCTGGGCAGAGGAGTGAGGCTATGCCAGCCTGTGAGTGTGGCTCCATGGGATCTTGTGCACATCAAGCCTGCAGCTGGGGGCTGGAGCCCAGGAAGCTGGCCCAGGGGCTCCTTTGCTCACCCCCAAACCCCACACCTCTCACCCCATAGGTGAGAGGTATTTCTCCAGGGTATTTCTGAAAGAGCCCGACAGAACGTTTTTCAACACTCAGAAGCAATCAGGGGAGTACAACCAGAAAGATGAGAAATTTAAGACAAAAACCCAGTGACAGAGATGGGGGTGGGGGGAAGCTGCCTCCAAACTTGCTCCTTGCCTGCCAGCCGGCACCGTGCGCAAAGCAAGCAGATCCCCGCACCTCACGGGCTCAGCCAAATTGCAGAGAAGCAAACGGTATCCCCGGCGCAGTGGGCCACTCGGACTGGGCCAGGGACTGTCGCCGGATCAATGCTACCCGCGCTGTAGGCTTCGGGAAGGGCACCGCAAATGCCAGGAATGGGGGAGAAGAACTTGGTGATCCTCTGTTGAGAATGAAGCCCAAGGGCCCTCCCAGCCGCCCCGCGACCCAGCCAATGCCCTTCCTGGGCTTTCTCCTAACAGCCAGTGTCTGGAGCAAAGATCAGAACTCGCTCCCCCGACGGCGCCTGAAGCGGAGGCTTTTTCCCAACCAACGCGGAGCCCAACGCCCTTTCGAAAAAGTACACCTCAAAGAAAACCGGGATTTAGCACGCGCGGAGGGAAAAGGGAGGCGGCGCTGCCAAGCTTTACCTTTTCTCTTTATTCTGTTTTCGGGATTTATGCAGGAGTCCGATGAGCACCACGGCGGCGCGGATCCCCGCCTTTCGGCAATGCATCCTCCCCGCCGGCTGGGACATGGCGAGGCCGCCGGCGGTGCCCGGCCGCGCCCTCGCCCGCCCGCCGCGCGCCCCCGCCGGCCCGGTTCCGCGCCGCCCGCTCCCGGCCCCTGCGCCCGCGCCCCGGCCCCCGGCCGCCAGCCTCGCATGGGCCCCGCCCCGCCTAGGTGCGCCCCGGGGGTCAGGTGACTGGGCGCTCACTTCCCGGCGACCTTCAGCGTCTCCTCGGAGCCCGCCGGGCGGCCAGCGCCCGCTCCCCCAGCACCGGCATCTCCCAAGCTCGCTCCGGGCGCGGCCGGGACGGGCGGCTCCGGGGCTCGGGCTCAGACGCGCCGCAGGCGCCGGGACCCCGCCCCGGCCCCGCCTCCTGCGCCCTGGCCCGGGGCGCCCCCGGCTGCGGGCACTTCGGGCGGCTCGCGATCCGCGCTCGCGGGCTCTCGGCGCCCGGCTCCCTCCCCGCCGCGGGCCGGCCCGGGCTCCCTCCGCAGGCCAGGGAGGCCGGCGCGCCCTCCCAGCCCGGTCCGCCGGGATACTTCCCCAGTGCTGTCACTGTCTGTAAAACAGAGCGAAAAACAAGCACCGAGAGGAAACGCGCGTCCTCAGTCCACAAGGAGCTGCCTCGGTGTGCGGGCACCGCCGCGGGCCTGCCCCGCGCCCCTCCCTCGCCGCCCGCGGCTCCCTGGCGTTTAGGCTCGGGTGGGACGCCCTCCCCCACCCACCCCCACAGGTCCGGGAAAGCCCCGGGGTCTGCTCCAGAGTTGGCGCCCGCGTGGGTTGGGGTCGGTGCTCCGGTTATCATTCGCTCTCCCCGCCCGGGCAGTTTGATACAAAAGATTCAATGATCAATTTCCTGGCGGCTGCACCGCGGAGGAGTGTCCCTGGTTGCCAGGAAAGCTCAGGTGGGGCGCTCCCACCCCACCATCACCCGAAGCCCCAGTGCTGGCGCCACGCACACAGCCCCGTCAGTCCTTCACCGGCTCCTGCTGCCGCATACAAGCTTAGTCTTCCCTTCAGCACGGAAAGACGGAAGGTCACTGGCCAGCTCCTGGGAAAGGGGCCGTGGCCTGGTCCCTGCTGTGGGCCCCGGGTTCTCATAAGCCCCATTCACTTCTGGGAAGCTTAGCCCCCTCTCACCACCACCACCACACCCCCACACTGGCTTTGTCTCTCCTTCCATTCGCCCAGGGAGGGACTTAGGCAGAGGGCTGGGGGGAATTAAAACAAACCAATTAGTCCATCTTTGGAAACAACTCTGTTGGGGCCACAGAGGTCCCTGAGGCAATTTGCCTTGTTTTTTTATACTGTCTGGTGTTTGAGGGAGCACAGAGAATCCAGCAAGGAAGGGACCTTGCTGGAGGGGGACAGGGGCTGTAAATGAATTCGAGGGCCTGAGGCCTCAACTCCACCTCTCCAGTGGGCACAGCCTCTTGCTGGCACTGGAGGTGAGGCGGAGAGGAGGGAGCACCAGGGAAGTGCCAAAATGCGCTTGGTTTATTTATGAAGCATCCATTAGCAATGGCCTTGGCCCCCCTGAGCCTGCCTGGGTGGTGGGGGATCACAGATATAGCCATGGACATCTATTTATAGCCAGATAGTGAGTGACCCAGGCCCCACTCCAGGCTGACGGCTGCAAGGACTACACCAGCAGTGACCTGAGAATTACTGTGGAAAAAGAATGGGGAAATGCACATCCGAGCATCCGAGCATCTTCTGTGGGGAAGAGGGGAGAGCCCCAGCACACAAGCCCAGGGTTTCTCCTGCCTCTGGCAGTACACAAAGCCACAGGCTAGCTGACAGACTACTTCAGGGTTGGCAGGGAGCTTGACAGCGTCCTGGCCGAAGGTCTAGACCAGCATGGGGTGTATTTTATGTACCCACACACAGGGGAAAACTGCATCTCCATGCAGGGCCTGACTCCTTCCCAGACCAGTACAGGGGGCTCTTGACCATCCCCCACTGCCTTGGCGATATTTCAGGTCAAGTGCATCAGTGGGCAACAGGGCATTGGGATGAAGGTGCAAAATCTCTCCACTAAGCAGGGAACTTTATTCATTCTTGTTCTGGGGCTCCAGGCACTCTCAGTTCCTCTACAACCACGATGTTTCCAGCCCTAATGTGGCTGAAAGAAGGTTGTACCCCAAAGACCATGACCTGATCAGATTGCTGGGGTCCAAGAGGCAGAAGTTTCCTGCAGGTGGGGGAGCTCTTCGTTCTGCCCACACCCCACACCCCACACCCAAACACCAAAGCATAAAGAAACCATCCGTGGCAAGAACGTAATGGCCACCTATGCTAGCCTTGCCCCTTCCACCAATGTTTATTAAATATTTAGGATGCATCCACCTTTGTTCAAGAGTTGAGGGTTAGAAAGAAATGGAAGACCACCCTTGCCTATAACAAACTGGGCTAACACAAAACCGCACCACAATCCCATTCCCCAGCTGACTTGTACCATGTGGTCCAGCCAGTGCTCCCCAAAGTCAGATGGTTCACATACCACCTTCACAACCTGTCTTAACGTACTACTCAGTTATTCACTTATCATTTGGCTTTGATTAAATCAACTTTCTTTTTTACTTTATTTTAAAAGAAAACATTACTACCACCCTAAATGAAAATCTATTACCATTTACCATTCAACCACGAAAACAAATACAAATTTATTAAATTCTAGCTCAACACTGTCACCTAAGGAAGGCTTTGAGCCTGAAGCACCTTTGTTAAAAGAGGAAATAGACAAGTGTTAGGCGTTAGCCACTCACTTGCAACCAAATGAAGACAAATCACAAAGTTGGAAAGAGATCGGAAAGGGAACAGTTTTCACATACTCAAAGTTCTTCTAAGGCCACATCCATAGGGGGCTTTGCACTAGACCACAAAGGCTAGAAACATCTAGACCCCAAGGAATGAGGTCAGGGAGGACTGCGGGGGACAGAGAAGGGGTCTTCTCCCAGATTCCAACCCACCCAGCAGTGTCCCAGCTCACAGGACCTCAAAGGCTTGGTCCAATGCCAACTCCCACCCTCCAGCCCACAGTCGCTGAGAACAAAGTGCCAGGCAGCTGCCAGCCTGGGTCTCTGTCCCCAGTCAGGGGAAACCCAAAGGCTGAGGGGGCCTGGGTGGGAATCAGGGGAGTGGGGGAGGAGAGAGAAAAAAGTTAATCATAAACAGAGGGCAGACAGCTGCACATCCCGTTCCTAAGGGGCCAGTGGGGTGAGACAGACACGCATGCTTGGTCCTGAAGAAAAGGGCCTTCTGTGCCTGGGAACCCACTCCAGGAGACACATCCATGTGGAACTGGGAATCAGCCCCACCACCCGCGCCCTGGTCTCAGAGAGACCCCAGAGCAAGTGTTACACACACACCCCAACTCCACTGCCCCACAAAATGAATGCAACCCTTCTTGGCCAGGACTGGGGGTAAGTATCAAGAGGGGCTCTGGAGCCAGGAGGGTGGAGCCTTTTATGAAAACCAGGTATCTTCAGATGGCTTACAACTCCCCTTCTACAGAGGAAAGCATTCTCAGCCATCTTGATGGATCACACAACCTTTGGCACAATTCAGGAGTTATAAACATACAACTTTAGACCTTGTCAGGACAGGGCAGCAGCCCCACTCTCTTATGCCTTTGGGACACACCTATATATACACCAGCTTGGAGAAATCCCCCAGAAGCCTCTCACATCTCACTTCTGCAGAGCACTCACACCTGTAAAGGGACCGGCATTGATTCTTGGCAGGTACATCGGCGCCCCCTGCTGGGCTCCGTTACAGTTGCATCTCGGGGATACCATCCGAGGGGGAGGGAGGGAAAAATTGGGAAGGTCATTTGAGGTGGAGAGGCAATTTCTATTTTGAAAAGAGAGACACACACACTAGAGGGGTCTTTGCCAACACGGTGATTCTCCTCCCAACTCCTAATCTTCCCTCCTAAAGCCCCACCAGCCCCCAAAGGAATTCATTCCACTACAACAGGGTCCTTCAGTGACACGGACAGGCCATGCCCAGGCCAGGTTAGAGGGCTCGAAGACAAGCTTAGGAACCCCAGCTCAGCCATCTTTCCTGAAGCCACACATATCATACTGAACAGTGGATCTGGCTCCGATTTTGGAAACAGAACTCAGAGACTGGGGTGGCATTTCGAGCTCCAGGGAAAGGAAACCATTCCGGAGGAAACCCACAGATCCCACTCAGTGGCAGGCATCCAGTCCTTGGGCTGCACATCATTTGGCACCCAGAGCTTGCAAGGCACGATGTCCATCAGAACTTTGCTGATTTCCTGTTCAGGGGCTACAAAAAGGGGGTAGAAGAGGGACCTAAGTTCTTCATCTATTTCTTAGGTTACTGAAAATATTTGGGATATTTATTTTTGGCTCATTTATGGAATTTTGAATCCATGAACTTATGTGGCATGACTATAATTTTTCCCACAATAGAACATTCAAAAGGACTCTTCTGTGTGTCAAATTTCTGATGAGCATGAAGAAGTAAACTGCACGGAGGCTGCCCAAGGGTCACTCCGGAGAGTCAGGAGCCCGTGAGCTCGAGAGCTGGGTGGCCTACAGCACAGTCCTCTCACACGCAGGGTCCCCCAGCCCCCACTCACTGTTTACCAAACCTCCCCAGCCACTACTGCTGAAGCCACTTCCAACTCTAGGGTTTCTGGGGCTGTGTGGAAAAGTGGGAAGGAAAGCTGTCTTTCCATAATATTAGCAACATTGCTTAGCAACATCGTTCAAAGCAAGAACCAGTAGACTCTCCAAAAACTGATTCTATTTAGCTCTACAAAGAACAGCGCGGTTTCTTATACATGTATTATTTATATGTTATTTTATATATCCAGTAACGCCTTCTGTGCCTGGCTTCCTTGGGTGACGATGTGTTACACCTAAGTGAGATTTCCAGACAACTAGAACACTGAGCAGCAAAACTTTTTGTTTGTTTTTTTTGCTGGCTTGCTTTTATTGTAATGACCTTGGCTAGAAATTTTCTAAAATGTTCTACGTATTTTTGTCCTTTTTAAAGACAGGTTTAATGTAACCTTTTCTTGGTGACTCACAGCCGTTATTATCAAAACCAACTACCATACTGAGCTGAAACTCAACTATGAACTAAAAGGCCATCAAGGTGAAGACCCATATGTCCCTATACTTAATGACCCCAAACAGCTCCGGTACAAAGATACCACAGTGGAGGAATAAAAACTAAAAGAGTCTGCAGTCAGGCAAACCTGAGTCAGAATCCCCTCTTGAGCTTTTACTATTTGTATGACCTTGGGCTAGAAATTTTACTTCTCTGAGCCTCAGTTTTGTTGCCTATAAAATGGGGATAACAAGAGGACCATTCTCCTCGTGTGCTTTCAAGAATTAAATGAACATACATGGTCCACAAAGACTTGTATGAAAATGTTCAGGGTAGCTTTATTCAAACTGGACAATCCATCAACCAACTGTGGTATATCCATACTGTGAAATACCACTCAGCAATAAAAGGAACAGAATACTGATACACGCAACAACATGGCTGAATTTCAAAAATCATTATGCTGAGTGAAAGATGGCAGATACAAAAAATACTTTCTGCATGATT